CGCTTAGACTTTTCTGAGTGATAGGAGCAGTCTTTTATTTACTGAGGCAATTCTTGCCTGGCTCGTAGATGAGGGCTGGTCACCGGAAAGACCAACCATGATTATAAACTTGGAGCATTCAGCCCCTACCTCTATTCTCCAGAGAGGGGACAGAGGCTGGAAATTGAGTTAATAATTGATCATGCCTACATGATGAAGGCCCCATAAATATCCCTTAACTATGGGGTTCAGAGAGCTTCCAGGCTGGCAAATACACATCCATGTGCCTGGAGTGTGGTATACCCCAACTCCATGGAGACAGAAGCTCCTGTACTCTGGACCCTTCCAGATCTCACCCTTTGTATCCCCTGGCTGTTTATCTGTATCTTTTATTATATCCTTTATTAGTAAGCCAGTAAATGTAAGTAATGTGTTTTCCTGAGTTCCATGAGCTGTCCTAGCAAATTAATACAACCTAAGAAGGGGGTCATGGGAAGCCCAATTTATAGCCAATCCCTGATCAGAAGCACAGGTCACAACCTGGGACTTGTGATTGTCATCTGAAGTGAGGGACAGACTTGAGGGACTGGGCCCTGAACCTGCAGAATCTGACGCTGTCTCTAGGTAGACAGTGTCAGCATTGAATTGAATTAGAGGACACCTAGGTGGTGTCTGTGGGAGAATTTGCTTGATATGTGAGGAACCTCCCCACCAACATCTGATGTCAGAAGTGTTCTGCTGAGTGGCTGAGTGGTATATGAGAGTAGGAAAAATAATTTGTTTTGTTTTGTTTTTCCTATCCTTAATACCTGTTTAAAGTAGCCTTTTCTGTTTATTTCTTTGAAAGCAATTTGCATCACCTTTAATTATCAGATCTATTAATTTGTTTACTTCTTTAATGTTTGACCTCCGAGTAGACTATAACCTTCATGAAGGCAAGGATTACAGTGTTTTTATTGTTGTTTGCCACCAAATACTCAACCTCTGGTAAAGTAATCAGCAAGAAGTAGATGTTCAATAAATATTTGTTTTAAAAAATACGTAATTATTATATTTGTAAGTCGAACAGCATGAATCAACATCATAGGGAAAAACTATCTTAAAAATAACTTTAAAAAATGATGAAACAAGCAATTTCCTGAAAATGTGCAAGAACAGACTTTCAGAATGATGTTCTATGAACTATTGTCTGCAGGTCATTTGTAATCCAGCAAACATTTTCATCCTTCTTCTGATTCTATAACTTATTCTATATTTAGACTTCCTGTAATTCTAACCTGTATACAAGATAAAGAGTAAAGATGGAAGATTCTGAAAACAACTTTAACAATGTCCTATTTAGGGGGATTTTCACTGCATACTTTAAGAACATAGGTTTAGCATATTAGGTATCTGTGGAAATAAGTCCTTAATCTACAGATGAGTTATGCTACTGGTTTAACTATTTTCTTTAGATTTTTTTTTCATGTACAGGAATATATTTTTATATACATATGTAATATGCTGAAGGGACAAAAATAATGTATGATCATTATCCTAAAAAAGAAACAGGTTCCAATTATTTTTTTTGAATTATAGACATAGCTAATTAATAATGCATATAGTTAATTAAAAATTAGACAGATTGTAACCTTGAATGTAACAAATGACATAAAGAAAAACTTTGTTACATGTATCTCTCTGGGAAAATCTCACAAAAGACTTTGTTTGGCAAAGCTATTTGAAACAATTCAAAGCTAGAAATGTTTCTAGGTTATAGCAAGATGAATTCTATTAGTTTGGATTTTGACCTACCACTAAATTTTGGATTTAAAAAGGGTCTCATTTTTATATTCAACACAGAAATTAAATTTTAACTTAGGAACTAATTTCTACATGCCTTGAGGTATGTGAAAATCATGTGAAAATAAGTCAGTTACTGCTAAGGTCTCAATGTTTGTATCCTCCACAAAATTCGTTTGTTGAAATTTTAACCCTTGAGATGATGGTAATAGGAGTCAGGGCCTTTTGGAAGGTGATTAGGTCATGAGTGTGGAGCCCTCATGAATGGGATTAATACCCTTATAAAAGAAACATGAGAGAGCTAGCCAGTCCCTTCCACCATGTGAGGATACAGTGAGCTGTCTCTAAACTAGAAAGTGGGCTCTTACCAGACATGGAATTTGCCAGTGCCTTGTCTTTGACTTCCCAGCCTCCAGAACTGTAAGAAATAAATTGCTGTTATTTATAAGCTACCTGGTTCATGATATTTTGTTACAGCAGCCTGAACAGACCAAGGCAGTTAGTTATAGAGACAACAGATGGCTTCATAGGCCTGGGTGTGAAACCTGGGAAAATCTACTGGAAACCACAGTTGAGAACACACTTCAATGTCCCAATAATCCTGTAGCCTTCAGGCTGAGTTGGTTCTGGACTCCCTCTAGTGGTTCAATTCTGGTGCTTTACTTGATGCCTTCAATTTTAGAATTAACACATTTCGGGTCAGATTAAAAACAAATAAGCAAAAGAGCCACACCACTCCCATTAGAATGGTTTACCACAGGGAGGCCAGGTGTGGTGGCTCATGCCTATAATCCCAGCACTTTTGGGAGACCGAGGTGGGGGGATGACTTGAGGCCTGGAGTTCAAGACGAGCCTGGCCAACATGGTCAAACCCCATCTCCACTAAAAATCCAAAAATTAGCCAGGCATGGTGGTAGGCACCTGTAATCCCAGCTACTCGGGAGGCTGAGGCAGAAGAACTGCTTGAACCTGGGAGGCAGAGGTTGCAGTGAGCTGAGATCCTGCCATTGCACTCCAGACTAGGTGACAGATCGAGACTGTCTCAAAATAAATAAATAAAATTTTAAAAATAAAAAGAATGGTTTACCACAAGATTATGTCATTCAATGGTATGATAAATGTGGATGTTTAGATGACTGAAATCATAGTGTTGCAGATGGTTAGACCTAAAGAAGCAGAATGGATTTTACTGGCTGATTAGAAAAAATACTTATAGTTTTGCTCAGAGTGAGTGGATAAGAGCTGAAGGCCCAGTAACAGAATTCCTTGTTGCTTTTGTTTGCAACCTATGGTAAGGACTGGATCATTTAGGGAAAGAGTGAGGTGAAGTGAAAGAATATTTCCCATGCGTATGGATTCTATAAGGTCAGAGGGTTCTTATTTGCCCTTGTATAAAATCAATCTCTTAGACCAACCCAAAGGAACATGTAGTTTCCTCCTCATCATATTCCTAATAGCATAGTCTCTGCTTCTGTTTTAAACCAATGCAGAAAACTTTAAGGCCCATTTAACTTTATTGGCTCCCTATGTTGGCTTCAGTTATGCCACTCCATGAAACCTTTACTTCTTGGCCATTTCTGCACAGTAAATATATCTACTAACTATTTTACATGACATCCCTTTACATATTTAAGACAATTATCATGTCCTCAGTAAGTCTTCTTTCCCTCTCCTAGATCCTCAAAACTTCTTGGAACTGAATAGAAGGAACTCCATGAGGTGCAGGCATCTGATAAAATAATTTGATTGGCATGTATTCACACCTTTAGGGGTCAGTAAAAACGATGGCTTTTAAAAAAAAATTTTCAGAAAATGCAAAGATGTTATTTAAAAGTCCCAAAACCAAAAAGACCTGAAGCCAACAGGATTAAAAGACAAAAAGAAAACGGGAAGTAATGGGTGACTTACCCATTTCAAGACCTCCTCCTGCTATTTTCTGTTCCCCAAGTTATGCCAGAATCCATTGTAGTAGAAAAGTAGAGCAGAGACCAGATAAGTTACTGTGGAGTCAAGAAGTCTGTAATGTCTGCCATGAAGTTTGGATAGAATGAGATCAGGAATTGGCATTGGTTTTAAGATGCCAGACCTGACAGTACTTCCCATTGATAAGTCTGTATTGATTATTTGCATAGGTAGAAGAAAAAAGACTTCCCAGCAACTTAAGCACTCTAAAATATCAGTTTTGTCATCTTACAAATTTGGGTTGCAGTGAAAGTGGGAAAACTGAGGTAGGAAGATGTAAGTCAAATAAAGACAAGGTATATCTTCTTGTCTTTGAATATCTGTAGTTTTTTTAAATAGGAATTAAGAGGGATAAGAAATGTATTCCAATTGATAAAGAGGAATTCCCTGTGCGAAAGGGAGAGGAAAGGCAGAAGGCAGGTGGGGAAAAAAAAAATAGCAGGCAGTTGTCTTAATAATGTAGATAGGCATCGCCTCTAATACAGGACTTAGTGCTGTTGTGCCCCAATTAGACAACAAGCATTGATGGCATGAACTTAAGCAGTGATTAAGTTGTTGCTAAATAATATTCAAAAGAACATCAGAAATCAGAACAAATGTACCATTAGTGTGCTACAAATCCATCAGATAGCTTAGTTTTCCTTCTTTCCTCTCTACAAGGGATTTTAAGTGCCACACTGTGCTTCTCTCCCACTATACTGGTGCTGTTCCATAGGAAGGGTTGTGCCTGGACCTGCCAGATTGGAACCGCGGTTATCGAAAGTCCCAAGATGTATTCTCAGCTACTGCAAGTCACCTGTGACATCTGCACCAGAGCAACCAAAATTCTGTGCCCATAGGGATAGTTGGAGTTTCTTCATAAAATAGCAAAGTCTCTAGTTTGCTATTTCAACAGCGGCAGTACTGATGTTCCAGTTCGGAGGCCAGGAAAACAGAATGTAACGCCGGTGACTTCCAAGATATATGTACCACCAAAATACATGCTTAATGACCTAGTGAAGTTAGCTTACGCCGCCTCCCAGACACCTGTAACGAAGACCATCTCGGCAAAGTTCTGGGGCGGGCAACTCGATTTCACGAAAGCGGACACCAAAACTTAACCCAAGGGCCAGAGCGTCGTCTAACGTTCCCATTGGCCCGTTCACTCAGCAGCCAACTACGCAATCTGGCCTAGCGCATGCGCGCAACCTACTTCCGGCCTGCGAGCTAGGTGTTCCGCTCTTTGCCGGCCGGGATTTCCTGTCTGGCTTTTCTTTCGCTGGCTCATCTGTGGTGCAATGGCTCGGGATTCGGATCCCTTCTGCGAAGGGCCGCTCTTAAAGCTGCTACCCTTAGACGTTAGAGACCGGGGCACCCAGCGCTGCCGTCTGGGCCCGGCCGCCTTCCACGCCCTGGGCGCGCGTTTGGGCTCGGCAGTGAAGATCTCCCTGCCTGACGGCGGCTCCTGCCTGTGCACTGCCTGGCCTCGGCGGGACAGAGCCGACTGCTTTGTGCAGCTGGACCCGCTGTGCGCAAGCCCCGGGGTGGCGGTCACGGCTTCGAGATCGCGGAGGAGTCTCAGCCTGAGCCACCTCCTCCTAGTGCCCTGTCCGCCCCTGCGGCGCGTCGCGGTGTGGCCGGTGTTGCGAGAGCGGGCAGGCGCGCCCTGTGCCCCGAGTACAGCTGCGGTGCTGGAGGCGGCGCAGGAGCTGTTGAGAAACCGACCGGTTTCCCTGGGCCACGTGGTGGTCGCTCCACCGGGCGCTCCGGGCCCCGTGGCTGCCTTGCACATCGTCGGCGGGACGCCCAGCCCCGACCCCGCTGGGCTGGTCACGCCTCGTACACGCGTCGGCCTCAGCGAGGAGTCTCCATCTGAATCCCGGCCGCAGTCTGAGGTGCCCCTGGGGGGGCTTTCGGAGGCTGCCGACTCGCTGCGGGAGCTCCTCCTCCTGCCGCTCCGCTACCCCCGCACCCTGGCGGCGCTGGGCTTAGCAGTGCCCCGCGGAGTGCTCCTGGCGGGACCCCCCGGAGTGGGCAAGACCCAGCTGGTGCGGGCCGTGGCACACGAGGCGGGCGCGGAGCTGCTGGCAGTCAGCGCCCCCGCGCTTCAGGGCTCCCGGCCTGGGGAGACCGAGGAGAACGTGCGGCGGGTCTTCCAGCGCGCCCGGGAGCTAGCCAGTCGGGGGCCCAGCCTCCTCTTCCTGGACGAGGTGGACGCCTTGTGTCCCCGGCGGGGCAGTCAAGCACCCGAGAGCCGCGTAGTGGCCCAGGTGTTGACGCTGCTGGACGGCGCCAGTGGGGACCGCGAGGTCGTGGTTGTGGGAGCCACCAACCGACCGGACGCTGTAGACCCGGCACTGCGCAGACCCGGGAGATTTGACCGCGAGGTAAATGGGCCTGGCTGGTTGGCCCACTGTCCGTGGGACCTCGGCCTCTTCTGGCGCCAGTTGGGTGCCCCTGAGGCGTTTGCCTCTTAGGTTTGGGCATCGGCGAGGTTGGAGTGGGACTCTTAGCAATGCAGAGAACACGTTCTCTGTGAGTCAGGACCTGTATTTACCCAGAGTCAAATTGTTCTGGGAAGTGGGGGCGGGAGGCGCCGTTACAGGTTAATTTTGTTGTGCGGGTCTTATAATCAGTAATGTTAATTCTTTTCCTTTCTTTCTTTCTTTTCTTTTCATTCTGAGGGATACTTGTTCTCTATGGAGGTAATGTTAATTCTTAAGAGAATTTTGTTCACCTCCAGGCATGTTAAACTCATAGATTTGGAATGAGAATTTAAAGTAGCCTCAAAAAGTAAGTGTGTTGAAATAAAAAGGATGAAGGCAGGGAAGAACTAAATGGAAGCAGGCATTAACTCTTCTGGATTTATTCATTCCTTGTCATAACACCAGCATCCTATCCCATAATTGAGGAAGTACCCACAACTGCTCCCTGAGTTGTCGGGGAAGTTGAATATTCAGAACTGTCCTATTTTATAAGCTTTGGTTCTAAGTTGACTTTTGAATTCTAAAGAATAGTTTGAAATTTAGTGACTGATATTTCTATTTTGTGATAGGATTCTAAAGAGAAATGGTAATTGCACACTTTTAGCTTAGTCAATTCAGGACTTGAGTTGATTTCTTCCTTGCGCTATCTAGTACCTGTGTCCTTAAGGGCAGGGCCTAGCTGTCTAAACCTGGCTTTTAGAACTTTGTATGTTCTTCAAAAGAACAAAAACTAGGCCAGGTGCGCTGGCTCAAGCCTGTAATCTCAGCACTTTGGGAGGCTGAGGCGGGCGGATCACGAGGTCGAGATTGAGATCATCCAGGCCAACATGGTGAAACCCTGTCTCTACTAAAAAATACAAAAATTAGCTGGGCGTGGTGGTGCGTGCCTATAGTCCCAGCTACTCGGGAAGCTGAGGCAGGAGAATTGCTTGAGCCTGGAGGCGGAGGTTGCAGTGAGCTGAGATCGGGCCACTGCACTTGCACCGGCACCGGCACTGGCCCCTGGCGACAGAGCAAGATTCTGTCTTAAAAAACAAAAACAAAAAAAACTTGTTAAATGACATAGATAGAATTTTCATTGTGCAACTTTCTAGCCAGTGTTACTCCTTTGTAATATTAGGATTTTCACATATTCAGAAACAAAGGTATACGGAAAGTGCATAATACTAGTTCCAAAATGGTTCACTGAATTAACATACGTGTTTGTCAGGATAAAAAATATATATTGTTTTGGTGGGACGTGGTAGCTCACGCCTGTAATCCCAGCACTTTGGGAGGCTGAGATGGGTGGATCACTTTAGGAGTTTGAGACCAGCCTGGCCAAAATGGTGAAAACCCGTCTCTACTAAAAGTACAAAAATAAGCTGGGCATGGTGGTGTGCCCCTGTAGTTCCAGCTACTCAGGAGGCTGAGGTACCAGACCAGAATCAGGGAGGTGGAGGTTGCAGTGAGCTGAGATGGTGCCTGCTGCATTCCAGCCTGGGCAACAGAGTGAAACTGTGTCTCAAAACAAACAAACAAACAAGCAAAAAATACACACACACACACACACACATATAATTAGTTTTTTGGAAGTGATTCTTTTTTAATTGATCTATTTTTATTGATACATAATTGTGCATGTTTTGGGGTACATGTGATATTTTGGTACATGCATACAATGTGTAATTATCGAATCAGGGTGTTTAGGATATCCATCACGTCAAACAGTTATCATTTCTTATCTGAGTGTTGGGAATATTTCAGATTTTCTCTAGTAGCTATTTTGAAATATATAAGAAATTATTGTTATCTATAGTCACCCTACTATGCTATCAAACATTACACTTATTCCTTCTATCTAACTGTATGTTTGTACCCATGAGCCCATGTACTCTTTTCATCCTGTCACCCCCAACCCTTCCCAGTCTCTGTTGGCTGTCATTCTGCTCTCTACCACCCTGAGATCAGCTTTAAAAATAATATATTTTAAACAATAAACTTTTTTTCTTTACATATAGGTGGTCATTGGGACTCCCACACTTAAACAAAGAAAGGAAATTCTGCAAGTGATTACCTCAAGGATGCCCATTTCCAGTCATGTTGATTTGGGCCTTCTTGCGGAAATGACAGTTGGCTATGTTGGCGCTGATCTGACAGCACTCTGTAGGGAGGCTGCCGTGCATGCCCTCCTTCATAGTGAGAAGGTAAGAAGTATTTTAATGTATGAACATCGATGTTAATCTTTCTATTAGTGTAACAGATTAATTTGGGGGTTAAACAAAAGTGGTAAGTACATTTCGTCAGAACATTTGATAGCTTCCACAGCTGTTGCTTATATATTTTACATCTCAACTCTATATAAATAGTATATGATTGAGGGTGGGAATAAAGGGCTGAGTCCTCTAGGTCTACTGAGTAAATTTATTCCCCACTCTTGCAGTAACTCCTAGAGCTTAATCTCAGAGCAGCCAAGAAATAGTGTGGCCCCAGAAGAATCAAAGAATTTTTTTTATTTTGAGGCAATTTCAGATTTAGAAGTTACAAAAATAGTGCAAAGAATTTCCCTATCTCTTCTCCCAGATTCTCCAAATGCAGCATTTGCTTTATCATTCTCTCTTCATGTGAATTTACATATATATAATGAAATATTTGAGAATATACTGCAGCCATAATGCCTCTTTACCCTCGAAAACATAAGTGTATATTTCTGAAAAACAAGGACTTTAGTACAGTGATCAAGCTTAGAGTTGTTCTGTAGAATATTCCTCAGTTTGGGTTTGACTAATGCTTCTTCATGATTCAATTCAGGTTTTGCATTTTGGGTAGGAATATAATAGAAATGATCCTGTGTCTTTCTCATTGCATCTATTAGGAAGCACATGATATGTTTCTGTTCTATCACTGGTGAAGTTAACTTTTATTTCTTGGATAAGGTCGTGTCTGTGAGATTTCTCCATTGTCAAGATACAGTTTTTCCCTTTGTTTTTAATAAGTATCAGGAGAAATAAGCTTTTCTAACCTGGGAGAATATTGGGCACCTGGAATTGTATTTAAACTTGCCCTTGACCTGCATGTCTGTAATTCATGACTACCTTTCCTAACAATATTTAAGATATTAGATTAAATATAACATTTTTCAACACTGTTGGTTGGAAAATCCACTATTTATATATAATAAATAGTCCTGAATCCTTAAACCCCTTCAGAAAAAGAAAAAAAAAAAAAAATGGATTCAGCAGACTGAGGATTCTGAAACAGAATTTTCAATCTTATTTGTAACATCCAAATTTCTTTTCATCTTAAACTGCAAAAGAATGATTTATTATCCTAAATTTTGAAAGACCTTTTTACCTAAATAATTTATACCTTGCCTCGCTTCCTTTATTTCTACAGTTACACCGAAGGTGGGAAGGAGTTATGTGATCTTCTAGTGATCTTTTAAGTCTTCATCTTGTAGGTTTAGATCAAAACTGCTTGAAGTTTTAAAGTTCTGTGTGTAAAGGTGTGAGAATACGTGACATTTGAGGGAGACAATAAGAGTACCAGGAGATGGGAAGAGAGATTTACATTTAGGATTTCCTCTGCTTTGAAGTTCCAGGTTTGATCATAAGCACCTCTGACTTAGGTGGACCAGTCAGCTGCTGTCATCCCAGGGTGGAGCCCACTGCTACTTCAGGAGGGGCCTGCTCAGATGTAGTTGCCACAGGTGATGGCTGAGTTCAGAAACAACCCAGGGGAAGTGGAAGAAAGAAAGGCAGAAAGGATGAAGGGACAGAGACATCTGGGAAGGTACCGGATCCATTTTTTATTCTTTCCCCCACCAGCTGAGGGGCTGCCGCTATCTCTATCTGTGCCAGGGCAGATAAGGGATACCTTACAGTTTGTTAAACTTTTTGTGAAGTATTCCTATTAAAGGATTAGAGATGTAGTTTCTCGGCTGGGTGCAGTGGCTCACACCTGTAATCCCAGCACTTTGGGAGGCCGAGGTGGGTGAATCACGAGATTAGGAGTTCAAGACCAGCCTGGCCAACATGGTGAAATCCCATCTCTACTAAATGTACAAAAATTAGCCAGGTGTGGTGTCTTACACCTGTAATCTCAGCTACTCAGGAGGCTGAGGCAGGAAAATCGCTTGAACTTGGGAGGCAGAGATTGCAGTGAGCCAAGATCGCATTATGGCACTCTAGCCTGGGCGACACAGTGAGACTCCATCTCAAAAAAAAAAAAAAAAAAAGTAGTTTCTCAAACACTAAAACATACACAGAGGGGAGAGAATGTATTTGCCCAAAGAGTCAAGTCAAATAATTGCACACACATGATCTTGAACTATAAATGAGATTTTCAAATATTAGTTGGTGATACCTAAAAATTAGTTTGTATTTGGGCATCAGATACCTAACATCTAATACTGTCAGCCAGTTAAAAAGGCTGTTTTTTAAACTGTATAATAGTGTTATTCATGAGAAATTAAGATAGAAAATTATAAAGAGCTGCCTGCCTGAAATCTCACTTCCCAGAGATGACAATTGTTAACACTTCTGGGAGAATACTATACAGAATAGCTCTATACATAAGATTCACTTACATCAATTTACAAAAATACAAGAAGATAGTATATTTTTGAAAATGGGAATTTGTGGACAACTAAATATTTAGAATTGGATATAAGACAAATACTTTAATAAATATAGCACAGATATTTTTAATAAAACTGTCAGGACTTTTTAACAGAAAAAAAATGTGCTTCACTAGAATGATCAAGGAGAGTATAAAGAGTTTCCAAAATATAACCTGAGAGTGAAGACGACTTTTCTCGGCATAATGTAAACCCTATTAGCCAAAAAGTAAATTATTTGCTGATTTGACCATTTGGGGATGGCAAAACAATACTGTAAAGTCAAGTCAGACTAGGAAAAATACTTTTAGTCCAATTTCTTTGATAATGGAAGGAACTTCTACAAATCATTAGGAAAAGACCAACAGTCCAAGAGAAAATGGGTAATAAGATATGAACAGGTAGTTGACAATAAAAGGAGTGCCAATAAACATGAAAAATCTTCAGTCTTGATTTCTTTTAAAATTGTCTTTATTTTGAAATAATTTCAAACTAATAGGATAGTTGCAAGATAGTTACAAAGAACTTCCACTAAACCCTTTATCCAAATTCACCACTTTTTTACATTTTGCCAAAACAGCCTTGTCATTCTCTTTTGCTCTTTCTTGCTCACCTCTTCTCTTCTTTCTCTCATCTCTGTATGTATGTATTTATATGTACATAGTATTTATCTATTTTGGACCATTTGAGAAAATGGGTTGCATATATCATGACACTTTATCCCTTAACATTTTAATGTCTGTTTCCTAAGAACAGCAACGTTCCCATATGTAACCACACTATGGTCATGTATAGTGTTGTGTACTTATAGCCTCACATGTAGAGAGAGGTACAGAGCATTCATTGGCTCCTTACTGGTGATGCTAATATTTATCAACTAATTCAGGCAGTGTGTAATTTCTCTACTGTGTAACTGCTATTTTTCCCTTTGCCAGTAATAAGAAATCTGTGGGGAGACACTTCGAGATATCCTGCTCCTCATCAGACTTTCAGGTTGGGCACAGTGGCTTACACCTGTAGTCCCAGCTGCTCAGGAGGCTGAGACAGGAGGATCACTTGAGCCCAGGTATTTGAGGCTCTGTGAGCTATTGCCTCAATGCCACTGCACTCCAGCCTGGGCAGCAGAGCAAGACCCTGTCTCATTAATAAATAAATTTTTACTCTCCGCAATGTAGCCTCCAATTCTTGCTCAAAACAACCTTTACGGTCATGATTGCAAAAAAGGTGACTTTTCTAATTCCAATATTCCCTCTACCTCATTCTGAATTGAAGAAATTTAGTTAACATAGTAATGAATGAGTACCAGTTCTTCCTGTCATATTAGCAGACATTTTAAGAGTTTGGTAATGGGCCAGGCACGGTGGCTCACGCCTGTAATCCCAGCACTTTGAGAGGCCGAGATGGGTGGGTCACTTGAGGTCAGGAGTTTGAGACTAGCCTGACCAACATCGGGAAACCTTGTCTTTACTAAAAAGACAAAAATTAGCTGGGTGTGGTTTTGCATGCCTGTAAATTCCAGCTACTTGGGAGGCTGAGTCACAAGAATCACTTGAACCCAGAAGGTGGAGGCTGCCGGGAACCAAAATCACTGCATTGCACTCCAGCCTGGGTACAGAGTGAGACTCCGCCAAGAAAAAAATAGAGTTTAGTATGTCCAGTATTGGAGAGATGTGGTGAGAACACAGCCTCATATTATCGAAGGAAAATAAACTGATGCAGCTTTCTTTGAGGACAATTTGGTAATAGCTGTCAAAATTGTATATGTGTGTACTTGTAAACCCAGTAATTCTACTTTGAGGAAATTATTACATAAAATACTTGAACATGAATTTGAGCATGGTGGCTCATGCCTGTAATCCTAGCACTTTGGGAGACTGAGATTGGAGGATTGCTCAAGCCCAGGAGTTCCAGACCAGCCTGGGCAACATAGGAAGACCCTGTCTCTACAAAAAAAAATTTTTTTTTAATTAGCCAGGTATGGTGGCACACACTGTAGTTTCAGCTACTCTCGAGGGTGAGGTGCAAAGATTACTTGAGCCTGGGAGACTACAGTGAGCTCACTGCATTCCAGCCTGGGCAACAGAGTGAGACCTGTCTCAAAATAAACAAATAAATAAATACTTGAACATAAGCACAAATACTTTTTCATTGCAGCTTTGTTGTTAATATCAAAAGACAGGAGATGACCTAATGTTTGTCAGAAAGGTGTAGTTGGGGTAAATTTGATAGTGTATTATGGAATTGTCAAGAGTGACATAGAACTGTATTAGTTGACAGGAAAAGATCTCTAAGATAGGTGAAAGAAGAAAAGTACAGATAGATATGTATAGTATGGTGCCATTGTGTGTCTGTTTTAAAGGATATACATATGTATGCTAAAAGCATATGTATGCTTTTTATCATAACATACTGGAAGAATACACAAACTGTTGACATCTTTGGGGGATGAATTCTGACAGGAATTAGTAAGGAGACATTTAATTCTTTGTACTATGTATATAAATTGTTTTTATAATAACAAAATACAAATCCAAAAGAAGATGAAAAAAAATGAATTGTGCTATAAAAAAGACCAACCCAATTTTTGGTTTAATTTTGCTTTTTTGGGTGTATTTCTTCAGAACCAGGACAATCCTATGATTGATGAAACAGACTTCCTTGAAGCTTTTAAAAATATTCAACCCTCATCATTTCGAAGCGTCATTGGATTGATGGATATCAAGCCTGTTGACTGGGAGCAGATTGGTGGCCTTGAAGATGTAAAACTGAAGTTACAGCAGGTAAGACAGATAATCTGCTTAAGTCAGTAGGATATTACAGATTAATATTCTGTGTATTTATGATAACAACATACTGCACTGAAACTGCTCTTGCTCCTATCACTGATGTGATCCTAACATCTAAATCCAATGATTGCTTTTCAGTCCTTATTTAATTCGACTTCTATGGATGTCTAAATTGTTTTTTATAATTTCCCATCTCAACCCTCTTTTTGTTTTTGCTCTAAAGAGTTTATAACCTAAGGTTGGGTGTGGTGGCTCATGCCTGTAATCTCAGCACTTTGGGAGGCCAAAGGAGGAGGATTGCTTGAGTTCAGGAGTTCAAAACCAACCTGGGCCACATAACAAGCCCTTGTCTCTATTTAAAAGAAAAAAAAAAGAGTTTATAACCTAGGGCTAGGTTCAGTGGCTTATACCTGTAATTCCAGCATTTTGGGAGGCCAAGGTGGGTGGATCACCTGAGGTTGGGAGTTCAAGACCAGCCTGGCCAACATGGTGAAACCCTGTCTCTACTAAAAATACAAAAATTAGCTGGACATGCTGGCAGGTGCCTGTAATCTTCGCTATTCAGGAGACTGAGGCAGGAGAATCACTTGAACCTGGTAGGTGGAGGTTGCAGTGAGTCAAGATCCCGCCACTGCACTCCAGCCTGGGTGACAGAGCAAAACCCTGTCTGAAAAAAAAAAAAAAGGTTTATAACCTGTAACCTTAGCACTTCAGGAGGCTGAGATAGGAGACTCTCTTGAGGTCAAGAGTTCAATACCAGACTGGGCAACATAGTAAGACTCCCCAGAAAGTGCTAGGATTTACAGGCATGAGCCACAGTGCTTGGCCTACAAAAATTTTTTTTAAATTACCCAGGTGTGGTGGCATGTGCTTGTGGTCCTATCTACTCAGAGGATCACTTGAGCCTTGACCCCAGGAGATCAAGGCTACAGTGAGCCATGATTGCACCACTGTACTGCAGCCTTGCAACAGAGCAAGATCCTGTGTCTTAAAAAAAAAGCAACAAAAAACCAATTTATAGGCTAGGCACAGTGACTCATGCTTGTAATCCCAGCACTTTGGGAGGCTGAGGCAGACCGATCACGAGGTCAGGGTTCAAGACCAGCCGGCCAACATCGTGAAACCCCATCTCTACTAAAATACAAAAATTAGCTGGGTGTGGTGGCGCAAGCTTGTAATCCCAGCTACTTGGAAGATTAAGGCAGAAGAATCACTTAAACCCAGGAGGCGGAGGTTGCACACCACTGCACTCTCGCCTGGGACAGAGCATGACTCTGTCTCAAAAAAAAAAAAAAAAAATTGTAATCTAAAACACAAGGGTCAACAGATTTTCTGTGGAGTAAGCCACATAGTAAATGTTTTAAGCTTTGTGATCCATAGTCTCTGTCACAACCACTCAGCTCTGCCATTGTAGCACAAGAGCAGCTGTAGACCATATGTACATGAGTAATTGTATTCTGATAAAATTTATGGATACTGAAATTACATAATTTTCACGTCAGAAAATATTCTTTTGATTTTTTTTTCAACCACTTAAAAGTGTAAAAACTATTCTTAGTTTGGGCTGTACCAAATATAGGTAGAAGGTCTTAATTTGCCTAGATCTCTGATCTAAAAGACATTAAATGGATGCAGTACAGGGTGTGGTAAAAGCACAAGATTGAAATGAACAACATGGCTACCTGATAGTGGATTTTACAGTGGAAGCTGTGGAACACAACTCTTCAAATCTTCTCACCTGCGTTTGTTTCAGAAATTGATTTCGTCAATTCACCTACATGTGATCCTGCCTTAATGAACTAGGTTTCTCTAACCACACATATAACAGACTGATACATAAGTAATAATTATGATTTATTCATCTTAGCCAGGAGCTCTGTCTCTAATGAACCCTAGAATATTTGAGTCCATGGATAAGAGCATGTATAATATGCGCTAATGTTTTTTATGCATTGTCTCATTTAATCTTCAAAAGATACATGAGAGGGCCGGGCGCGGTGGCTCAAGCCTGTAATCCCAGCACTTTGGGAGGCCGAGGCGGGTGGATCACAAGGTCAAGAGATTGAGACCATCCTGGTCAACACAGTGAAACACCGTCTCTACTAAAAAAATACAAAAAATTAGCTGGGCATGGTGGCACGTGCCTGTAATCCCAGCTACTCGGGAGGCTGAGGCAGGAGAATTGCCTGAACCCAGGAGGCGGAGGTTGCAGTGAGCCGAGATGGCGCCATTGCACTCCAGCCTGGGTAACAAGAGCAAAACTCTGTCCCCCATCAAAAAACAAAAAAACAAAAGATACATGAGAGAAATTAGCCACACCTTCCTGTGGAAGCGCTCTGTTTCCTTAGCTTTGAAACATTAAGCTTTCCTGCCTTTCTTTTTCCTCCCTCTCCCTTCCCTTAAATGTTAGTGCTTCAGGAGGGTCCTGGAGTGTTGGAGCTGTGGGTGATTTTATGTTGATCTTGATGTCCACAGCATTAACTGACCCCTGAAAACTGTTGACTCAGAAATCTGTATTATCTAGAGTATATATTTCTTCTGATTATCAGAACTATTTCACAGCCTGTCTACTGGATAACCCTGGGGATGCCAAACTAAGCATGTCCAAAGTTAGCTAGTCAGCTCTGCCCTCACACCTAGATTCCCTCCCTCAATGAATACAGCCAGAATTTACAACCCCATCCCTTAAATCAATAATCTGTCCCCTAAAGGCATAGCATTAGAACTTTGTCCCTATGTAAAGTACAATTCTGTTTTAGGTTTCAAATATCTATCCCATCCACATCATCTTCACTGCTTGTGACACTCCAGGCTTACTGTTTTTGTAGGCTGAATCATTGCAAGAAGCTTCCAACTGGTCTCCCTGCCTCTAGTTTCATTTCCTTCCAGTCGGTTCTCCATACTGCTTTCTCAGAGTAGAATAAAGCTTTCAAGGCCTGTTGTGATCTGACTGCTACCTGCACTTGAAGGCCGTTGATACTTGCTGGTGCTCTTGAATTACATTGCCTGGGGTCAGAATTGGTTCTGCCACCTCATTAGCAGTAAGACCTGGGCAAATTACTTAACTTTTTTAAAGCGTTAGTTTTTGCATCTGTAAAATGATGATTATAATAGTTACTAAAAACCATTTACCTTAAAGGCAATGAGGACTCATTCACTATTCAGTTTACAGTTATTGAGTGCCTCCTTTGGGTAGTTGGCATTCTAGGTGTGCTGGGGATTTTGAGGTAAGCTTTGCTCATATTCTAGCAGAGCAGAATGACAAACCTTTCAATATGGAAAAATAATAATAGTGAATAAGTGCTTTAAAAGTAAAGGCTGGGCAGTAGCACAGAGAGTGAGTAGGAGGAGGGGGTTCTGCTTTAACCAGGTTGTTAGGAAAGACCTCTCCAAGGAATTGACACCGGCACTGAGACCTGAGCGATGAGGAATAGGCACACGAAGATCTCAGGGGAACATTTGGGCAGAGAGAAAAGCAAGGAAAGTCCCTAAGATGGGAACAAACCAGGTGTTTGATAGATAGATTACAAAAGGCCTTGTCAGCTGTGGTGAGTAAGGAGTTTAGATTTGGATTTTATTCTAGTCCTAATGGTAAATCGTCGAAGGATTTTAAGCAGGAAGTAATGTCACCTGACTCAGTTATAAGCTCTCTGCAGTGTGGAGTATGGACTGTTTCCAGCTCATAATAGGAGCCTGAGAATTGTTGAATGAACAAATGAATCTACTAGATGATTTGCCATTTTATTATTATACTAAAACAACTCTTTTTGTGTACTTTCAGAGCATTGAGTGGCCTCTGAAATTCCCTAAGGAATTTGTTAGGATGGGCCTGACACAACCAAAGGGAGTTCTTCTCTATGGGCCCCCTGGATGTGCTAAAACCACTCTGGTGAGGGCCCTGGCCACAAGCTGTCACTGCTCTTTTGTTTCAGTGAGTGGAGCTGATCTCTTTTCACCATTTGTTGGAGATTCAGAAAAAGTCTTGTCTCAGGTTTGTTTATTTCCCCATATGTTTAAATTTACTATCGAGTTTTTATTTCATGTCTTGTGGACAAACTTTACTTTTAAAAAATATTACTAGGTTTTTTTCCAGTTAAAAAATGTTATACATGTTTATTGAAAATTGAGAAAATATAGGAAAGTGTAAATATGAAGTCCTTCATAATGCTTCTACCTAGTATTAGTTAACATTTTGGCAAATTTCCTTTTTTTTTCTGTTTTAAATCAAGGGTAGGTTTTATGTATCTATAGCTTTATCCTGCCTTTTAAACTTAATATTGCCACTTTTGAAATTACATAGTATTAATTATTCTTTGAAAATATGATTTTTAACTCATAAAATACTCCATTGTTTCTTGTTCTCTTTACTCGTTTCCTAATTCCTAGACATTTAGAATCTTTTTTTATATATTTTAAAAATTATAAAAAGTGGGCAGGTTTGGTGGCTCCCAGCTGTAATCCCAGCACTTGGGAGGCCAAGGTGGATCAATCACTTGAGGCCAGGAGTTCAAGACCAGCCTGGCCAACACGGCGAAACCCCATCTCTACTAAAAATACAAAAAATTAGGTGCGCATGGTGGTGTACACCTGTAATCTCAGCTACTCGGAAGGCTGAGGCACAGGAATTGCTTGAGCCTGGGAGGCAGAGGTTGCAGTAAGCTGAGATTGCACCACTGCACTCCAAACTGAGTGTCAGAGCAAGACTCTGCCTTAAAAAAAAAGATTATGAATAGCAATGTAGAGAGCATACATTCATATGACTAATGTATAACATAATGCTTTTTAATATTTTTTCCTAACAAAAGATATTTCGACAAGCAAGAGCAAGCACTCCAGCAATTGTGTTTTTGGATGAAATTGATTCAATTTTGGGAGCTCGCTCAACCAGCAAGACAGGATGTGATGTTCAAGAACGAGTTCTTTCTGTTCTCCTGAATGAATTAGATGGTGTTGGACTTAAGACAATAGAGAGAAGAGGAAATAAATCAAGTCAACAGGGTAAATACAAGGAGCTGAAAAAATGAAGAGGTATTTATTAGCCAGAATGCACCTAAAATCCAGGCCAACATTAAATAGAATGCCTATGTGCTGTAGCTTTTCCTATGCTGAATTCATTTCATAGAAAGATTTATATAATTTCATTTTGACTTTGGACTTTTAGAAGTAATAAGAATTGTGATTTGGCTAGGGAAGGTGAGGTACATTTTATAATAAATTATCTTAAACAGAATGAGAAATATAATTTTACTTACTGCTGATAGAGAAGGGAGTTTTTTCTTGTTTCCATGTTCTAAGAAACCAGTATTCATTTCTTTCTAAAAATTTATATGTAGGCTGTGCACAGTGGCACATGCCTGTAATCCCAGCACTTTGGGAGGCCACGGTACGAGGATTGCTTGAGGCCAGGAGTTTGAGACTAGCCTGGCCAACATAGCAAGGCCCCATCTCTGAATGAGTGAATGAATGAATGAATGAATGAGAAACAAAGATTATTATTTACAATAATCCTCCTAATGGAAAATTTCCACTTTTCTTGAGGAATGGGTTTCCTTGGTTTTAATGAATTAAAATGGCCTTTGGAAAGTTCCCTCCCTCTCTTTCTGAGTCTCTTTTCCAGGTAGAGCTTGGTAGCTTTAAATTATCCCTGCTACCTTCTATTTCTCTCTTGTCTCATTCATTTCTTATTTTAAAAATCGTTGCATGGAATTGTTGCATACACTCCTTAGGAGCATGTCATACTAGAATTAAGAGGTACCCACGAGGTTATCTAATCAAATCATTTCATAATGCAGGAATTCCTTCTATAACATCTGATAGGTATTCACCCAGCATCTGCTAAAATACTTGTAAATATAGGGAACTTTGTAATTTGAGGGATTATGTCACTGGATAGCTGCCTGATGATCCAACAAATGATTTTGAATGCTTAGTATATGGTAGCCTTTCTCTGTTTAGATATTTCTTTATCCAGGATTTGTCATTATTTCAAAGAAAAATAAAAAGTAGAGTAAATCTCCCTCTTTTGAGATATGAGAGTCAAGACTTTCTATAGCCATACATCTCCACCTGTTGGTTATATGTATCTGTCTTTTCAAGTAGTCCGTTTAAGTTGTAATCATTCATTGGAGGCTCAGGTGCTCTCAGGTCACTAGATGGGTGTTCTTTCCTTTGGGATAAGGTTTTTCATAGGTTCTCATATGGAGAAATGTCTCTCAGCTACTTCCTTAGCCATACACACAAAAATCCCCTGGAAAGGGGATGTAAGCACTCTGGTCCCAGGAAAAGCATATCCCAATTTGAATTCAAATAGATATTCTGATTTATAATTTTTAAAAAATTTAACAACTGATTGACATTACTTTGTGTTGTGTGTTTGCCCTCAGAGTTTCAAGAAGTTTTTAACCGAAGTATCATGATTGTTGCAGCAACAAATAGACCTGATGTGTTAGATGCTGCTTTGTTACGACCTGGAAGATTAGATAAGATCATCTATATCCCTCCTCCAGATCACAAGGTAATCATTGTACACATTTACTCTGTGTGCTCAGCAGAATCGAATTCCAACCTGGATATAGCTGTCCATGATGTTCCACTCACACTGAGTTCTACCTTCTTCCTTGCCTGGAGGCCTTTCATAACATCATAATTTTGATCTGCCTTTGCTGGATATTCTGGTCCTGTTCACAGAGAACAGAAGCCTAAATGTAAGATAGTTATTTTATGTTGTGGCAGACTGTAAATACTGAGTCTACTCAGCATTATTTTGCAACTAGAGTGGAAGAATCCTCAAGTGTTAAAAGGGCTTTGAAGATGATCCGAGTCAGCATTCTTAACAGTACAGTGCAGAAATCTGAGATTACAGAGATTATGTAATGTATCATGGTCAACCAGTAAATTGTTTTCCTTAACATCCAGAGCCATTGACAGGGAGGGTAAAGACACAGAGTGAAATTTTTTGTTCTTTGAGCTTTTATTAAGTCTTGAAGGGATAGAAAAATGAAATTTAATGTCTATTATGCCTTTAAGTTGTATCTGTTAATTCATGTATTTGCTTCTTAAGCCATGTCTAATAATATTATTTGTACCCAAAAGAGAGATTCAGCCAGGCATGGTGGCTCACATCTGTACGCCTAGCACTTTGGGAGGCCAAGGTGGGCAGATCACCTTAGGTCAGGAGTTCGAGACTAGCCTGGCCAACATGGTAAAACCCTGTCTCTACTAAAAATACAAAAATTAGCTGGGCATGGTGGCAGGCACCTGTAATCCCAGCTACTCGGGAGGCTGAGGCAGGAGAATCGCTTAAACCTGGGAGGTAGAGGTTGCAGTGAGCCAAGGTCATGCCACTGTACCCCAGCCTGGGTGACAGAGCAAGACTCCATCTCAAAAAAAAAAAAGTCATAAGCTTTTCATGATGTCATTATTTTTACTACTGTCATATGGGCCATTGATAACTTAGTCTTTCTAACCCCTTTATATACTTTGTCTGTTATGTGAAAGAAAACTCAAAGTAAAAATGTTTTAATAATTCGTTGTGAGTAACTTAAGCATAACCTAAGAGTGACAGTAAAAAAAAAAAAAAAAAAAAATTAATAAATCATTGTGTCAGGCATAAGTGTTATAAAATTTAAAATACATTGTTTTTTATTTTGTTCCAGGGCAGGCTTTCTATTTTAAAAGTTTGCACAAAAACCATGCCAATAGGGCCTGATGTCTCCTTAGAAAACCTGGCAGCAGAAACCTGTTTTTTTTCTGGAGCTGATCTTAGAAACCTCTGCACAGAAGTAAGTTAATTAGTGAAGAAATCTGTGGTTCAAAACATTTCTTCATCTTTTCAAATCTTCATTCACTCAGCAGTATTTATTAAAAGCCTGTGTGATACCATGTGATGTGAAACACAGATGTGGCCCCATCCCTCACACGGCTTATTGTAAGTGGTGTAGAGAGGCAAATCATAATACTGAATTGGCAATTGAAAATATATAGTGAGTTGGGGAAGTTTAGGGCACTGTGGGAGCACCTAGGAAAGACACCAGCCCAGGGATTTGGCACATCAGAGAAGGCTTTCTGAGAAAGGAGATATATAAACTGAAATCGGAAGGACAGATCAGGAGTTAGCCAGCTAAGTAGGGAAGGGGGAATGATTGAGGTAGAGAGAATAAAATGTGCACAGGATTGAAGGTAAGAGATGGTGTGACATTACTGAATCTTAGAGTGGAGAATCTCAAGAAATAAAGCTGAAGAAGTGGGCTAGACGTGGTGGCTAGAGTCTATAATCCCAGCACTTTGGGAGATCAAGACAAGAGGATTGCTTGAGCCCAGGAGTTCAAGATCAGCCTGGGCAATACAGTAAGACTCCATCTCTAGAAAATAAAAAAATAAAAAAATTAGTTGAGTGTGGTGGTACACACCTATAGTCCCAGCTACTTGGGAGGTGGAGATGGGAGGATCACTTGAACCTGGGAAGCAGAGGTTGCAGTAAGCTGAGATCCTGCCACTGCACTCCAACCTGGGTGACAGGATAAGACCGTGTCCCTTAAAAAAAGCTGAAGGAGGCCGGGCGCAGTGGCTCAAGCCTGTAATCCCAGCACTTTGGGAGGCTGAGGCGGGTGGATCACGAGGTCAAGAGATCGAGGCCATCCTGGTCAGCACGGTGAAACCCCGTCTCTACTAAAAGTACAAAAAATTAGCTGGGCATGGTGGCGCGTGCCTGTAATCCCAGCTACTCAGGAGGCTGAGGCAGGAGAATTGCCTGAACCCAGGAGGCGGAGGTTGCGGTGAGCCGAGATCGCGCCATTGCACTCCAGCCTGGGTAACAAGAGCGAAACTCCATCCCAAAAAAAAAAAAAAAAAAAAAAAAAAAAAAAAAAAAAAAAAAAAAAAAAAAAAAAGCTGAAGGAGTAGACAATGGCCAGGACATACTGTAAGCCACTTTAAGATATCCTATTTCATAAATTTTACTAAATATTACATTCAGAAAAATGACAGATCATAAGGTTATAGTTCATTGAATTAACGTAAAGTGATCACATTTTTATAATTACTACTTATATTAAAAAAATAGAACATTATTAACACCCCAGAATCTTCCTTTGGGCCCTTTCCCAACCTCTGTCACCTACCTTCTTCCAAAAGGGGACTATTGACTGGGCTTAGTGACTCATGCCTGTAATCCCAGCACTTTGCTGGGACCAAGGCCAGATGATTGCCTGAGCCCAGGAGTTGAGGCCAGCCTGGGCAACATGGGGAGACCCTGTCTCTACAAAAATTTTTTAAGCTGGGTGCGGTGGCTCACGCCTGTAATCCCAGCACTTTGGGAGGCTGAGGTGGGCAGGTCACAAGGTCAAGAGATCGAGACCATCCTGGCCAACATGGTGAAACCCCATCTCTACTAAAATTACAAAAAATTAGCTGGGCTTGGTGGCACGCGCCTGTAGTCCCAGCTACTCAAGAGGCTGAGGCAGGAGAATTGTTTGAAACCAGCAGGCGGAGGTTGCAGTGAGCCGAGATTGCGCTACTGTACTCCAGCCTGGCGATGGAGTGTAAGACTCTGTCTCAAAAAAAAAAAAAAATTTTTTTTAAATTGTACTCAGGAGGCTGAGGTGGGAGGATCATTTGAGCCTGGAGGTCAAGTCTACAGTGAGCCAAGATTGTGTTACTGTACTTTCTGCCTGGGTGACAGAGCAACTGTCAAGGAAAAAAAAAAAAACACACACACAGAAGGGAACCTCTCTCCTGACTTCCAACAGTGGAGATTAGTTTTGTCTGCTTTTGAACTTTATATGAATGGAAGCATGTGGCATATGTTATTTTCTGTCTGGTTCTTTAACCCAAAAAGAAATTTATTCATAGTTTTATGTGTAGCATAGTTTATAATATTCTATTAATATTCTACATTTGTTTATCCATTATTTTATTTTGGAGTATCTAGGTTTCTACTTTTTTACTGTTATGAGTTATGCCGCTGTGAACAGTCTTGTACGTGTCTCCTAGTTCACATGTCTACTTATGTCTATTTGTAAACATACTCAGCTACAAGCAGAATTGCTGGGTCATTTAGGGTATGTGTTTGATCTATTCCTTTATGATCAGCGCTGGCTAAAGACTCTTCAGGATCAAGAAGATATTCTCTCATCTTTAAAAATACATATGGGTTCATAACATATATATTAATCTACAAAAAGCAAATTGTTCTTCCCGTTTAAGGCTTTTTTCCCATTAATGTAAAAGAGGTTATGGTCTACAAAGTGTATTTTTAATCACCTTATTTAATTTTTTAGCGGCATAAATATTAGAATCCGATGAAGTGATGCTGAGATTTTGCATTCAGAGTTTAAAGTATTGTGAAAAAAGAAAAGAAATTGTTTTCTATTCCTTGTCTCTTAATAGGCTGCTTTGCTGGCTCTGCAAGAAAACGGACTGGATACAACCACAGTGACACAAGAGCACTTTCTAAAATCACTTAAGACTGTAAAACCATCGTTAAGTCACAAGGACTTGGCTTTATATGAAAACTTATTTAAGAAAGAAGAATTTTCTAACTTGGAAGATATTTAAAAATTACCTTACACGCTTGTCATTAAGTCGGGAGGACCTGACTTTATATGTAAACTTATTTAAGAAAAGGATTTTCTAACTTGTAAGAGGTTAACAGTTGCCCTACACCCTTTTTCAGTTGTTCACATTAATTGAAATGTGAACTTGCCTGTTTGCAGCTTCACACTTTTAAAATTTGTGTTTGTATTTCATATTTAAAAAAAAAAACAAAAACAACTTATGCCTGATAAGGCTCATTTTTTTTTCAAAAAGGCACATTAAAAAAATACTGTACTTTAGGAAGAAAGTGTGTGTGTGTTGATTTTTTTGTAGGGGTGGTTGGTTTTGGGTGATTGCTTTTTTAATTAAACTCTGAAATAATTTCATACTTAAGAAAAGTTGCAGAAATAGTACAAAGAAATTTTATGTGCTCAAATCCAGATTCACTAATTTTTAACATTTTGCCACATTTGCTTTCTCTGTCTTCCTTTGCCCCTTGTACATATATACAGTTTTTTTTTTTTTTGAGTGGTTTGAGAATAGGCTATATACATAATGTCCCTTTCACCCCTTAATACTTTAGTATTTATTACAAATAAGGTTATTATATGACCAAATTCAGGAAATTTAATACTGATACAGTATTCCAATCTGTCATCCAGTGAATTTTGTATACTGTCCCAGTGATGTCCTATATGGTAATTTGCCCCATTACAGGATCCACTATAGGGTCACACATTTCATTTAGTTGCCATGTCTTTTAAGCTTCTCGAAAGTTTCTCAATCTTTCTTGACCCTGACATTTTTGAAGAGTAGAGACCAATTATTTTATTGAACATTTCATTCCTGGACTTATATTTGATGTTTTGTCATGATAGATTCAGGTTATGTATCACCAATGGAGCACTACATGGGGGCACTGTGTCCTCAGAGGATCACAGGTGAAGGCACATGACATCTGTACATTATTGATGATGTTAATTTTGATGATTTGTTTGCAGTATTGTCTGGTTTCTCCAATATACTGCTGTTTTTCCTTTTGTAGATGTAAGTAGTTAAGTTTTTAAACAGATGGTTACATGTACATTTTTATTTTCATTTATTACAAAATAGAGTACTAGAAAATACAGAAACTAAAAAAAATCATTTAGTGTTTAACCTTCTAGTTCTTCATACATGTATAGATGATTTTTAAAACCAGAAAAGAGTGATACTGCATAACTCTTGTTCTTCTCACCTAACAGTATCTGGTAAACATCTTCCTGGGCCATTCTTCACTCACAAGGTGCTAAGCTGGGTGCCGGAACGTACAGTGAACAAGGCAGGCATCAGACATTGTCAGTGAATTAATTACAATGGTAAGAAGTACTTCAAAAGAAGTAGAGGCTATGATGAGAGACTACTGCATAAAATGTATGAAGTCATAAAATGTTAAGCAGTTATTTAAAATTCCCTATAACTGAATGCAACCAGGACTATTGGGAATAATTAAGGAAAAAAACCTGATATATAGGTATAAGACATTCAATTAAAATTATTCTAAGTAGTCCCAGGCTAAGGCAGGAGAATTGCTTAAACCTGGGAGGCAGAGTTGCAGTGAGCTGAGATTGTGCCACCGCACTCCAGCCTGGCGACAGAGCAAGACTCCGTGTCAAAAACAACAAAAAAATTATTCTAACAAACTGACCTTGCTTTTGAGTAATAGAGAAATACCTAGAAAAGTTACTAGAATTCTTACTATTCATTTTCTTTATTTATTGATCTTACTGAACAAGGCAGCTATCCTGCACCTGACAAACCCTTGCCTGAACCCCTTAGCTGAGACATCTAGCTGTGGGCCCCTGTTCTTTTCCAGAAAGGTTCTAGTAGGCCAGTAATTTAGCAACCACGTTTGTTCAAGGCTGAGCTGATTTGAAGATGTCTTTTTAAATTGTAATTAAAGTCAGCCCTCCACATCTGTGGGCTCCACATGGGCAGATTGAACCAACTGTGTGGGTTGAAAACACTTGAAAAAAACAAAAGCAATACAGCAATTAAAAAAAAAAAAATAGGGCAGGTGCAGTGGCTCATGCCTATAATCACAGCACTTTGGGAGGCTGAAGTGGGCAGATTACCTGTGAGGTCAGGAGTTCAAGACCAACCTGGTCACCATAGTGAAACCCCATTTCTACTAAAAATACAAAATACTAGCTGGGGCATGGTGGTGTGCATCTGTAATCCCAGCTACTTGGGAGCCAGAGGTGGGAGAATTGCTTGAACCCAGGAGGTGGAGGTCGCAGTGAGTCAAAATTATGCCACTGTACTCTAGCCTGGGCGTCTAGAGCAAGACTGTCTCAAAAAAATAAATACAAATAAATAGACCAAATAAAAAACAATAGTGTAACAAATATTTGCATAACATTTATATTAGGTATTATAAGTAATTTAGAGATGGTTTTAAGTATAACCAGGAGGACATGTGTAAGCAACCTGCATATACTACACCATTTTATATCAGGGTGTTGAGTATTTGTGGATTTGGGTGTCTTGAGAGGTGTCTTGGAACCAATTCCCTGAAGATAGAGAGGGATAACTAACTTCTCAACAGAACACTGGAAGCTTCCTGAGCACAGAGACTATCTGTCTCTTCTCACTGAAATGCTCAATAAATGACAAAATGAGGTCAAGAATTTCTTTAATCCTGTTTGAATCTGATTTCAGAATGACTCTGGGCAATTTCCAAAAGCTGTATCCTTGATCTACAGGAAAATTAAAACACCAGCTTCTGAACGTGTTTCTTCTGGTATGCTGGGAAGTGTAAACAGTTTTCCCTATAAACTGAACTCAAATTGTTTTCTGGGCCACATTATTGCTCAAGGTTGACTAAAGCTAAACAATACAGAGCAGCCCTGAAACCTGCAAAATTCACCAAGTCCAGTGTTACAAGCCTGGTTATAAGGCAGCCACCGAAGGATGAGGTGTCAGAATTACATCCATTGTCGGACGGAGAAAATTTCAACAAAAAATATTTAATAATATTTTATCTTTCTCATAAAAGCCTGAACTGGGCTGATTAAAATGTAAATTCCTGGCCAGGCACGGTGACTCATACCTGTCATCCCAGCACTTTGGGAGGCCAAGGTGGGTGGGTCACCAGAGGTCAGTAGTTTGAGACCAGCCTGGCTAACATGGTGAAACCCTGTCTCTACTAAAAATACAAAAATTTGCCAGGTGTAATGGCACACACCTGTAATCTCAGCTACTCAGGAACCTGAGGCAAGAAGTTTGCTTGAACCCTAGAGGCGGGAATGTAGTAAGCCGAGATCGCACCACTGCACTCCAGTCTGGGCAACAGGACAAGACTTTATCTTAAAAAAAAAAAAAAGAAAATCCAAATTCCTGGGGTAGGAACCAAGCAGCCATGTCTCAGTGCCTCTGCAAGCCTGGGTGGCACTAGTTAGAGAAAGGATCCAGAAGTTGCTGCTAACTGGGGGTAGATAGGGAAGACACCCACCACCACCACCACCACCAAGGGATTATGGGCTCTGGAGAAGCCACACAGGGTGATGCTGGTGAGTGCTCTGAGTGGGCTTCTTTGGGGGCTGCCAGGGTCTGAAGGGCTGGGAGGTGTGCCTGTTTCTCATCCTGGTCACACAGGCAGTACTGGCCTGGCAGTGCCTTCTGGATGCCCTGTCCAGTACACAGGGCTTGGGGGCAGGGAGGACCCTAATTTCATCTCTGTCCTCCCAATGCTGGCGATGAAGCTGTGAATTCCATTACATTTTGGAGTGGCAAGTGTTCTTATTGCTAAAGAACTGAATGACAAATTTTTGGGGGGTCTTGCCTTCACAACCCCAGGCAAAAGGGCAAAATATCTGAAGATTCTTGAATCCCATGCAGTTGACCCTTCAACAATACAGGTTTAAACTGCATGAGTCCACTTATTATTTTTTTTTAGACTTAGTCTCAGTCTGTCACCAGGCTGGAGAGCAGTGGTGCGATCTCAGCTCACTGCAACCTCCACCTCCTGAGTTCAAGCGATTTTCCTCCTTCAACATCCCGAGTAGCTGGGATTATAGGCACCTGCCACCACACCTGGCTAATTATTTTTAGTAGAGACAAGGTTTCACCACATTGGCCAGGCTGGTCTTGAACTCTTGACAGGTGATCCACCTGCCTCGGCCTCCCAAAGTGCTGGGATTACAGGCATGAGCCACCACGACCAGCATAGTTGAAGTATTTTAAAGTAAATCCCAGACATCATAATATTTCTGCCTTAAATATTTCTACATACAAGCTCTAAAAAAGGGAGGGGCCATTTAAAAAATTTAACTGCAATACCATTATCACACCTAAGAAACTTAATAATATCCCTTTAATATCATCTAATATCTGCATCCTATTTAAGTTTGTCACTTGTCCCCAAAGTGTCTTTTTACGGTTAATTTGTCTTTTTGTATATTCAAATAAATACTCCACCTTTGGTAAGTTTTCTCAGACTCCCTTAGTTAGAATTAATCACCTGTGGCTGGTGATCTATAATCTCAACACTTTGGGAGGCTGAGGCAGGCAGATCACTTGAGGTCAGGAGTTCGAGACCAGCCTGGCCAACATGGTAAAACCCCATCTCTACTAACAATACAAAAATTAGCTGGGCATGGTGGCATGCACCTGTAATCCCAGCTACTCTGGAGGCTGAGGCAGGTGAATTGCTTGATCCCAGGAGGCAGAGGTTGCAGTGAGCCGAGATTCCACCACTACACTCCAGCCTGGGCAACACAGCCAGACTCTATCTCAAAAAAAGTAAAAATAATAATAATCACCTGTCTTGGCAACAGAGCATACCTTGCATTAGAGTTTATGAGCACTGAATTGTAAGCACCTTGAAGTAAGTGATTTGTGTCTTATTAATCTTTTTAATTCTGCTATGCCCCCATCCTCAGAATAATGCCTAGACTACTACAAAACTGCATTGCATTTTGAAAAGAAGTGATACTAGTAAAGCAGAGCTCTGAGTTTAAGGTTATTAATAGGCAATGGCTATACATTTTCATTCCAGTTTCGGAGTCATGAAATACTACTGTAGGATTCCTTCCTTCTCTCTTCATCCTGTTCTTCTTTCTCTTCTTCCTCCCTTACTTCCTTCCATCCTAGAAAAACTCCTCTTTGTTAATAACGTGAGGCTTTTTTGTAGAACCTTCTGACAAAAGTAGCTTCAGAAGTCTTGCAGAAGGAGCATTAAAAGACTTCTCTGATTCTAGATAATGCAAACCAAGGATAATTAAGTATATAACGTAGATCCATTCAATCAGCAAGTATCTCTAGTTACAGCTCTGGGATTACACAGTAAGAACCCTTGCCAGAATAAGTTAGTGGGAAGCTACATGTATGATCAGCCTTATAAAAAACAAATCTTTGAGGCCAGTGGTGGTGGTTCACACCTGTAATCCCAGCACTTTAGGAGGCTGAGGTGGGTGGATCACTTGGGTTAGAAGTTTCAAAACCAGCCTGGCCAACATGGGAAAACCCGTCTCTACTAGAAATACAAAAAATAGCCCGGCATAGTGGCACATGCCTGTAGCCCCAGGTATTCAGGAGACTGAGGCATGAGAATCACTTGAGCCCAGGAAGCAGAGGTTGCAGTGAGCAGAAATCACACCACTGCACTCCAGCCTGGGTGATAGAACGAGACTCTGTCTCAAAAAAAAAAAGAAAAACAAATCTTTGCATTTAGTAACTATTTGTTAAGTGCCTACTACAAGCAGGGCAGAATGCCACGTGCTTTACATACATTCTAACATTTTTTCCAACTCTGTCCCCAACTAGGTTTGTCCCCATTTTGCAGATACATAAACTGAGACTCATGAAGGTTAAGTAGTTAAAGTCAGCTATTAATAATAAATATAGCAGGGGCAGATTCTAAACTCAGGTCCGTTTGACTGCAAAACCCAGTTTAGAATGAAAATGAGATTGAAACAGAGCAGGGGGTCTAGCCAATTTCAGAGAACGTTAAGATGGTAACTTTACAGCTTGAACTTCAAACTGTTTTAAAATAACCTGTCCTTTACTTAATTGCAGTATTTAAGAGAGGGATGCAAACAGAACGATGGTGTTGGGCACCAGACAGACCTGTGTTCTCTTGGCATCCTCGCCACTTACCAGTGATGTGACCAGAGCCTCTCTGAGTCTTAATAACGCACCCACCTTGCAAAAATGCCGAGGCGAATGCGGCTCAGTGTCTGGCACACATACAGCCCCTTGCTCTATGAAATTGTTACCATTGCAGCTGCCGGCAAACTGAGAGGCTGCTGGCTTAGGGGAGAGTTAGGAGGGAACCCAAGGAGGAAGCCAGCCCGCAGGGTCGTTTGCAGAAAGACCTTCTCCTGACAACCTCCCCAACTGATTCTTTTGTTTGTTTTCCCTCACCCAGGGTGACTGATTGATTGATAACGGGAAAAAGGACGTCCTGGGAGTTATTCAGAAATAAACTTTACAATTTAATTTTAGTGATCTCCATATGTGCACAACATCACATTTTGGATCTTTTAATGTGATTGGATTAATTCTAATTTACCCGCCTGCACTTGGAAGACTCTCCTGGAACTCTCGGCTCTGTGGCTCATTTTTCCGGACTCCCTTTATTGCTTGCTTATTTTTTTGTTTTATTGTATTTTATTTAACACAGGGTCTTGCTCTGTTGCCCAGGCTGGAATGCAGTGGCACAATCTTGGGTCACTGCAACCTCAAAGGCCGGGACTCAAGGGATTCTCCTGCGTCACCCTCTTAAGTAGCTGAGACAAGAGGCATGCACCACCACGCCCGCTAATTATTTTTATTTTTATTTATTTATTTATTTTATTTTATTTTATTTATTTATTTATTTTTTATTTTTATTTTTATTTTTATTTTTGAGACGGAGTTTCGCTCTTGTTACCCAGGCTGGAGTGCAATGGCGCCATCTCGGCTCACCGCAACCTCCGCCTCCTGGGTTCAGGCAATTCTCCTGCCTCAGCCTCCTGAGTAGCTGGGATTACAGGCACACGCCACCATGCCCAGCTGATTTTTGTATTTTTAGTAGAGACGGGGTTTCACCGTGTTGACCAGGATGGTCTCGATCTCTTGACCTTGTGATCCACCCGCCTCGGCCTCCCAAAGTGCTGGGATTACAGGCGTGAGCCACTGCGCCCGGCTATTTTATTTTTATTTATTTATTTTTTTTTTGTGACGGAGTTTCACTTTTGTTACCCAGGCTGGAGTGCAATGGCGCGATCTCGGCTCACCGCAACCTCCGCCTCCTGGGTTCAGGCAATTCTCCTGCCTCAACCTGCTGAGTGGCTGGGATTACAGGCACGCGCCACCATGCCCAGCTAATGTTTTTTGTATTTTTAGTAGAGACGGGGTTTCACCATGTTGACCAGGATGGTCTCGATCTCTTGACCTCGTGATCCACCCGCCTCAGCCTCCCAAAGTGCTGGGATTACAGGCTTGAGCCACCGTGCCCGGCCCTATTTATTTATTTTTTAAGTAGAAACGAGGTTTCCTCATGTTGGCCAGGCTGGACTCTAGCGATCCTTCTGCCTCAAGCCTCCCAAAGTGCTGGGATTACAGTCCTAGGCCACCGCGCCCGGCCCGGCTCCCCTTTTAGAAAAGTTGACTTTCCCACAGACCTTGGCCATCATCCCTCTCCTTGCTCTCAGGGGGTTCTACCTCCTACTCCCCAAACCTCGAAGCTCCTCACAAGCGCCAGGGAGGCCAAGTGCGACTGGGGGCGGCGGGTAAGAAGGACCCCGGCGAGCGGCAGGGGGCGCCAGCGCTCGCATTCGGCCGCTTCACGTCAGCAGCACGGCGTCCTGCAGGGGGCGCCCAGAAGCCGCGTGCCCAGCGGGGAAAGCGAGTCAGGTCCCGCGCGCTCCCCGCCCCAAGCGCGTGACCAGAGCGCGCTGGCCCGGCCCTCCCGGGGCGGTTGTGGTCGCTATATATACTGTGGGGCGGCCGACGGTCCGTTCGGTTTCGGGCGTTACCATCGTCCGTGCGCTCCGCCCTGCCTCCAGGTGAGTCTCCCATCGGCAGACGCAGAAGCGCCGGCCTTCGGTTGGCTTGAGGAGCGCAGTGGACCGTTTGGCGCCCACCAGGGCGATCAGTATTTTGGGTTTTTCATTTCTAGATCTGGTAATTCTACGCTGAAGTCGTCATGGGCTTTTTCCAATTGCTGAAGAAAAATAAGGAAGTAAGTTTTTAAAACAATTGAAAATCCTGACTAAAGTTTTAACTTTAGAGATGAAAAGGTGGCACAGAATTTGAAGAAAGTATAAAATAAATGTAGCACTTTCGTTGTGCTTCAAATGTTTAATACTGAAATGACCGAATGTGTCTCCTCCACCTGTTACCTGTTAGCTCATTCCCTTGGTGGTGTTCATGGCTGTGGCGGCCAGTGGAGCCTCATCTTTCGCTGTGTATTCTCTTCGGAAAACCGATGTGATGTAAGTAGGTCTCAAGTTATGAAAACGTTTTTGCAGTGTTTGGTTGACCTTTAGTTTATGAAATTTATTTTTTCCCATTGATAAGAATGCCAAATTGTGAACTGGGAGTCAGGGTTAAAAAGCATATTTTATCAGAAAATTCTTATGATATGGTCTACCAATGGGTCAGAAAATATAAATGAGAAAAAAAATTTTAAGAAAAGAAAAACAAAAAATCTTAAAAACCATGATATTAATAAAATTAGTTTATTTCTTCTGTTTATTATTTTACCCATTGGCTCTCCACTCTGGCAGTGAAGTAAAGCTTGATTTAAAAAATTTTTTTAAGTTTTGAAATGCAAAGTTCTTCAGTGGTTTCGGGTGATATATATAATAAAACACTCATTTTAATTAAAATTTTAAATTTTAGCATATTAGATTTTTACTAGTGTGGTAGAATTGGTAAATTCAGTTGTCTTCGATGAACCTAATCTCAGCTTTGGATAGAAGAAAGTAAAAACCAAAAGCATGTATCCTGGAATATGAGGAAAAGATAAAGTTGAAACTGATGGAGGCTGGTGCAGGGCTGGAGAGGGCGGTCCTCTAACCTCTGGCAGAGGGGCTCAGAGCCCTCGAGTTCACCCCCTGCAGAGTTCAATCTTAGCCTCTCTGTCCCTCCCACAGACTGAGATAAGAACATTATTCCACTCCTATGATTATTCGGTTTGTGGGATTCTTCAGCAGTGTAGCCCAATCAAAAGAATACAGACCTCCTACCCTGTAGAGGATTTGATCCTTAATGTTTGAGCCATACCATGAAACTCCCTTAGAGAATTTTCCATCAATTTTAGTTACTGCTGATGGTTCCTGATCATTAGCAGACGAATGCCTAAGTATAAAATTTGTTTTGTCTCTAGCACGTTTATAGACTGAGTACTAGTGTCGGTTTAAATTCACATGTTTTACTATTTAATTGGCTTTGTATTAATTTTAGCATTGATCGAAAAGGAAATCCAGAACCTTGGGAAACTGTGGACCCTACCGTACCTCAAAAGGTATTGTTAAATTAAAAACAAATGATTTCAATTTTGCCCAAACGTTAGCACCTTTGTCAACAAAATAGATTTAATACCTTACCCTTGTTCTGTAACTTAGATAAATTGTACCTTTGTTGAGTGATAAAAATGAGGAAATTTTAAGAGCCTACTGTATGCCAGGAGCATTGTCCAGCCACTCATGAGGAGCAGATACAGTTTTTGAACTTATGGCTCATGTAATACCTGGCAAACTTGAAAATCTGGATACCTGTCAGGTGCGGTTCACACCTGTAATGTCAACAATTTGGGAGGCCAAGGTGGGTGGATCACTTGAAGTCAGGAATTCAAGACCAGGTTGGCCAACACGGTGAAACCCCATCGTGACTAAAAATACAAAAATTAGCCAGGCATAGTGGCATGCACCTGAACCCCAGCTACTAGAAAGGCTGAGGCATGAGAATTGCTTGAACCTGAAAGGCGAAAGTGGAGGCTGAGGCTGCAGTGAGCTGTGATTGTCCACTGCATGCCAGTCTGGGCAACACAGCAAGACTGTGTTTAAAAAAAAAAAAAAAAAAAAAAAAAATCTGGGCTGGCTTTGGTGGCTCACACCTGTAATCCAAGCACTTTGGAGGCCAAGGTGGGCGAATCACCTGAGGTCGGGAGTTTCAGACCAGCCAGACCAACATGGTGAAACCCCGTCTTTAAAAAATAATAATAATAATAAAAAATCTGGATACTGCTAAGTGAAAGTAGGGCACATATGTTTGATCTTTCTCTCTGATTCTATAACCCTTAGGAACCCAAGGGCTTTTAAAAAAGATGAACTGATAGAAACCAGCTCACATTACTATTTTGTGCGTGTTTTAGAGATGGAAAGAGGTAGTTCTTTGACTACAAACACAGTGGTGGTCTTTTTCCAAAGGGGAGTGTGGATGAATTCTAAAGTAGGGCATGCATATGAAAGGCTTTTTTTTTTTTTTTTTTGAGAGAGTCTCGCTCTGTTGCCTAGACTGGAGTGCAGTGGTGCAATCTCAACTTATTGTAACCTCCGCCTCCCAGGTTCAAGCGATTCTTCTGCCTTAGCCTCTCCAGTAGCTGGGACTACAAGCTCATACCACAATGCCTGGCTAATTTTTTTTGTATTTTTAGTAGAGATGGGGTTTTACCGTGTTAGCCAGGCTGGAACTTGTGACCTCATGATCTGCCAACCTCAGCCTCCCAAAGTGCTGGGATTATAGGCGTGAGTCACTGTGCCTGGCTGAAAGGCAAATTTTTAACAAGACTTTTTTTGTTCCCCCTTTTTCCCTTCAGCTTATAACAATCAACCAAGAATGGAAGCCTGTTGAAGAGTTGCAGAAGGTCCGAAAGGCGACCAAATGAACCGTCTGCACCTCTTTGTTTTGAGGAGTACTCTATAAATCTAGTGGAAACATTTCTGCACAAACTAGATTCTAGACACCAGTGTGCGGAAGTGCTTCTGCTACATTTTTAGGGTTTGTCTGCATTTTTTGGACTCCGGATAAGGAATTAAAGGAGTGCAGCAATAACTGCATTGTCCAAAGTTAGTGCTTATTTTCTTGTAAGTTTGAATCTTGCATATTGAAATTTTATGTTTATGATATATGAATGATTTTCTTAAAATTTATAAAGCTTTGTAAATTAGATGGTCAGCAATGCCATTTGTGCAAGATTTCTCACAGAGTAGATATATATTTAAATGGAGGAGAAAATATTTTGATGGGAGAAAAATGCATTTGAACCATGATATTTCATCTTTTAATTAATATCCAGTACAGATTTCTGTGTAAGCTTTTTTTTTTCCCTAAGTTCATTCATTCACTAGTAGGTTATTGAGATCTGTTTGCAGTATAGGTAACAAAGTCAAAATTTGGTGAGCTATGAATAAAAGATGGTAAAGGAGATGAGGTTGGAGACTTGGATGAAGATTGACTTGGAGGAAGTGCTGGGATCCTGGAGGTGAACTGGAATGCAAGGCATACGGAGATCGGTCCTAAAGATGCCAAGCCACACTGTGATGCTCCTGTGGGGACTGGGGAGGGGAGGATGGGGAGCCTTGCCAGCACACTTCAGAGTTTAGGGCCACTCTTCCCTCTGGCCAATGGTAGCCTGAAGGCTGAAGATACACTCATATCCAACATGCCCCTCAACTCCCCAGACTGTCCTTAAAAATGAGATATGAAAGTTGCTTTTTATTTTTTGAGTTTTTAAAAATGGAGATACAATTCACATGCCATAGTATTCATCCATTTAAACTGCGCAATTCAGTGGTTTTTAGCATATTCACAAAGTTGTACAACAATCTCCATCTAATCCCAGAACATTTTCCTCACCCGAGAGAGAACTCTGTACCATTAGCAGTCATTTCCCTAGTCCCAACTCCTCTGCTCCTAGCCCCAGGGAAATGCTAATAAACCATCTCTGGATTTACCTATTCTGGACATCTAATGTAAATGGAATCATGTAATATGTGACCTTTGGGTTTGACTCCTTTAACTTGGTATAGTGTTTTGTTTTTGTTTTTTGTTTTCTTGAGATGGAATCCACCCTGTCACCCAGGGTGGAGTACAAAGGTGCAATCTCAGCTCACTGCAACCTCCGCCTCCTGGGTTCAAGTGATTATCCTGCCTCAGCCTCCTGAGTAGCTGGGATTCCAGGGGAATGCCACCATGCCCAGCTACTTTTT